CACACACACACACACACACACACACACACACACCTGTCAGTCACATGAAGGCTCAATATTCCACATCCTGGTCCAGAGTACCCCATCCAGCATTCGGCCAACTGAAAAGATAGAGAGATGGATCTGAGAGGTCCGAATTGTTTTGTTTTTTTTTTTGCTTGATTACTGGCAGTATTGGGGTGGCAATCCCGTTAGCCTTTCACCCCCTTTTTAGCGTCCCAAACTGTCCTCTTTGTCAGCTGGTGGAGTTGTGGTCGAGTACCACTGACTGCAGCCCCCGAATTGGGGTTAAGAATAATACGAATCATGTAAGCAGGAGGGTTGCGGCACAGGTTTGGCGGATGTGTGGTGCCGAGCTTTCATCATCCCGGACCGTCCTTTCATTTTCACACAATTTGCTGTTTGGCACTGCACTACCGCTCCCGCCACGCATTTCCTGTTTTGTTTTTGGTTTACTTGTAAGGCTCACCTGCTCAGCTTTGCGTCCAGGTCCATCCTGAGCGTCCTGCTGCAACGCTACATCAGCCGCTTGACTCCTCCCCGCGCTGCCGTGTTCCACGTCGGTGACGTCCACATGGGGAAGACCGTGGCGGTAGATGTCGCTCTCCTCGTCATCGCTGGACACGCTCGGCTTCTTGCCAGGTAGTCCAGAATTCACGGTCTGGTCCGTCGCACCAGCAGGTGGCGCCAAATCATCCTCCTACACATTGTAATGGACATTCGCTCAAGCCATGATTTTCAAAGTGCGGTCCACGTGAAAAGCCGCGCCGAGGTCATTGACGGGCAAGTCCACCTACTGTTTACCTCGTCCGCCTCCGCTTGGATCGCGGGACCGAGGAAGCGCTCATCCCGCTGGTCCGTTGGATGGTGCTCCCGCCCGTCACGCTGCATGTAGGAGAAGGTGCACTCCAGCAGCACGTCCACATTCGGGGTGAGGGGCCCCGCCTCCTCCTCCGGAGCCTGAGGGGCCAGGCTGTCAGGGAAAAAGCTGATCTCAGAGCGCGCTCGCGTCAGAAGGAAGCGCTGTTCGGCTCCACACCTGGACTCCTCCTGCTGAGCTTCATCCTCCTTCGCACTTCTGTCCCCGATCTCCGTTGGAGAGTCCTGTTTCGGAAGTTCCAGCCCCAGGAGGGACGCTCCGCTGCCGCCATCGCTGCAGCTGCCGTCCTGGATGACAAACTTGGACTCCGAGCAGCTGCTCTCAGAGAGACGACTCCCACTGCTGCTGTCTGCCACAGGAAAACAAAGAGTCACTCTCCTCCTCTTTCACGCACCTGAGCTGGCTTCTTCCCGGCCCGCCGTCCTGAGTGTAACGTAGCCAAGAGGCGATTGAAGTCCTACATTTGATGGTTTCCGAGGCAGGGGCGCCGTTCCTTAACACCTTGGACTTACTGGCCACGCCTCTGCAATCATTTCATGATCAAAGACGCTGTCTGAACTCGCGACGCTCGTGTGAAATGAACAGGTGGGCAAAGTGTCCAATTGGCCGTGACGGCAGCGTGAAAGAGGCTCAGGAGTCACAGTGGCCACGCGTCTAATCATGTGAACGACTGCGGAAGCCCGCGCAGTAAAAGGCGGCTCCTGTGGTGGCGCTTGCCTTGTCGCTGCCTCTTTTTCTTCTTCACCTTGACGGCTTTCACCACCAGCTCCTGCCACACCTCCTCCTGCCCCAGGGGGGCGCTGTAGCGGCGGGAGCCGGCATCGCCGGAGGAGTTTCCGCGGAGACTGTCCCAGGAAGTGACGGAGCTGCTGCGGCTACGCGAGCGGACGCTCGGGACGTTGCCGTCCTGACGAAAAAACACGCCAGGCACAGGACGCTTCATGAGGTCGAGGGATTAACGGCAAACCTTTGAACCCGAAATGGTCCGAATCATCGAGTCATCGTCACCTCGTCCTTCTCCCGCGCTTCCTCGGCTTCCTCCTCTTCCTCTTGCCCCGCCTCAGCGTGACTCCCGCCCCCCTCGCCGGATCCGCCTTCCACGATGATGGCCATGGTCCGGATCGGCTGAGCCACCTCCACCCAACCCGTCGGCGTGACGACGTTGCCTTGCGGCGTCAACGGCGAAGAAAGACGCACGGGGTAGTGAGACGGCGAATGGGAGACGCCCTCCGGACTGTCCGACAGTCGGATGAGGTCTCGGTCTCCCTTCAGGATGAAGATCTCGTTGTCGCAGCAGGACAGCGACACGATGTCCCCGCTGCTCTCCAAGGCGCCCACCAGCACCTGAACGCAGCGGCACGAGAGGGCGATGACCCTTCCCGCCGGCGTAAATTACAAATGGTGACGCGTTGGCACCTGGTTGACGTAGTCAACCACGTAGACGCTGTATTCGTTCCAGCTGAGGATCCAACCCTCCTTGAGGAAGCAGCTGAGCAGACCCAGCTGACGCTCGGACGGACGGTAGGCCCCAACCGGACAAGGACGGGCGAATATCTCAAAGTGGGGAATCTGTCAAACAGACAAGGCGCGGAGGAGGTGGTCACAACCAAGACTCGACGTTAGTTAGTCGCGGTGATCAGCTTCAGAACGAGTCACGGTACCAATCGAGCTTTTAGTGTTGGGTTCAGCAGCTTTAGCAGACGCAATGTAGAACCAGTATCTGATCAAAATCAATCTCCCTACCAATCCACACCAACGCCAACAATACCAAGAGCAAAATACCAAGTACTATTTCGAATGAGTCGTGGTAGAAGTTGGAAGTACAAAGTAGTCAGCAAGTACCGAAGTGTTGAAGATGGCTTTGAGCAGTCTGGTGTCCACCACGTGCCCCGAGACATCGGACCTCCACAGTCGGAGTCCCGGTCGGGCCGCGAACACTTGAAGGTCGCTCTGCTTGCAAAGAGCCGGCAGGAAGCAGGCCCCGAACCTGCCGCTACTGTCACACGTGCACACACATTTATTTCCCCACCCCACAGCCATTCATGTCAAAACCCGCTGGCAACAAAAGCGAGTCAACCCTGAAGTGAAACTTGAGTTGATTTGATTTGACTTTTTATCAGGTCTTGAAAATGACTTGAGAATTAATGACTTGAATGTTACTCTCAGCTCTGGTGGGCGTGCTTGCGTCCTTTTCATGTAGTGCATCACACGTGACGCTCACCTCTTCCTGGGTTTGGCTCCAAGCTGCTGGACCTGCTGCGTGTGTGTGCAGTACAGCAGCGAGCGTTGCTGCGTGGACACCAGCAGAACCTGGTGACTGTAGTCCAGCTGCACTACGCCGCAGGCTTCCTCCAAGAGTAGCACCGGTGTGCATGTACCCTGGAAAGACACCCGCACGTGAGCATAGTTTATTATTATTATTTTTTTTAAATTATAATTTTAGATGGAGTGTGAACACAATACAGGTCACCATTTTTCCATTGCAGTACATCGATGAACGTGGGGTGCGCAGCGCCTGATCTGCGGCAACTGTCATTTTTTTTTTTCTTCACACATTTGAGTTCCATTGGGCCACATTACTCCATGTGCCAATTTTTTTTAAATTATAATTTTAGATGGAGTGTGAAAACAACACAGGTCACCATTTTTCCATTGCAGCACATCGATGAACGTGGGGTGCGCAAGCGCCTGATCTGCGCCAACTGTCATTTTTTTTTTTTCTTCACACATTTGAGTTCCATTGGGCCACATTACTCCATGTGCCAACATGGAGGTCTCATGAATAATCAACTCAAAGAGCAGTTGAGTCTTTCAAAAGTTTTAGCTCGGGCCACCCGGCGTTCTCACCTGATCGAGGTCCAGAGTGGAGAAGACCACGCGCCCTTTGTCGTCCCCGGAGAAAAGCTTCATGCCGTTAGCGCTCCACGACAAAGACGTGACCGTGCCTTTGTGGAGGCCCACCACGTCGAAGCGCCGCAGCTAAACACGCGCGGGCGCACAAAACACACACATTCAGTCTATCACTTTTGCCAGCAAGTTTGTTGCACATCAACTTTTTTTAACACCACAAAAACCGGTCATCTGAACAGGAGTGTCGACGTTTTATACCCACTGTAAGCTTACCTTTGCAAAACTAATTAAAAGGTTGCCTATTTGTCGACATGTTTGGACCAGCTCACCTGCTTGTTGCGACCCGGCAACGGTGACACCAGCTGGAAGATGGCCACTCGGCCCGATGCCGTTCCCGCGGCAACCAGATCGTCAAAGCAGCTCAGCAGCCTCACGGAGGTGATGGCGTCGCACTTTCCCTAAACACACACACTTGGCTTTAAAGAGTGATGAGGAGCACTCAGGAAAAGAAGATGAAGGAAGACGAAAAAGAGCGCCACCTCCAGGCTGTATTTGTTCATGTGCGCCAGACGGCGGCAGTAGAGGTACAACATGCCAATGCTACTTCCCACCGCCACAAAGTCGCGGCTGGCGTCCCC